ATAAAGGGTATGGGAGAGGAAAGCGGCACAGTGACTGCTTGCCTTTTGAAAGTCAATATTCATCCACTAACAAAGAGTTGAGAGCCTACTATGTGTGAGGTTATCATTTAGGCATAGACCATTGTTTTTACATGTGATGGGAAAATTGAAAGGACAGTATACGCCATGTCTACATCCCCAATTTTTCTAGATATATTCTGCAGTTTTTATCTGCCTCTCTAGATTGAGAACCAAAAGTCCCAAACCAAGTTTTACAAAATAAAAATATAAAATTAATTTTGAAGGAAACAATGTGCAAGCACACTCTGAAAACTAATCTTTGATCAGGTTAATCTCTATATATGTACTTTAATGCTTAAAAAATGCAGCTGAAAAAGGATAAATAAGTATAATGTAAAAATATGAACAATGGTTATCTCTGGATAGAGGGTTTTAAATGATTCTTTTCTAGCTCACTGTGCATGTTTCTATACTTTATATAATGTGACATGTAATCCTTGATAATCAGAATGAGAAAATATTCTCAAGTTAGAACTGGTGTGATACTTACAAACCTGAAGCAGATAAAATGAGTCTGATTAAATTAAATGCAGGTAATTACTTAGCCATGAAATTGCCCTGCCCAATTAAATGAGCAGTCATTACTGTAAATGTGTGCTTTGAAGTGGATAAACTCCAGCACAGCTTTTCATGTTCTGGAATAAAAGCATGTATGTATCACAGACATACTAGGTTTTACTACAGTATGGGTACCTGTGCTTACCAAGCTCTTGCCTTCATTTCCCATATTTAGATAAAAGCAAAGAGAGCTGCTTAGCCAATCTTTAAAAGTTCATGTGTAAAAGTATTTTCCTTTTAAGAGACGTATAATGAAGTCAAGACTTAAAATTCCTGGCCCCATTTGACTTTAGTCAAACATGAAGCAATATTCTTTGTCTTTTTCTTCTAATGCCATGGTCCCCAGGCTAGACACTGGGCTTGAACCACCGACTGCTAAATTTGCATGTTGGGTTTGTAACTGACTCCTGCTGCTACACCCATGCTCTTCAGGACAGCTGTGTGCATGTGCAGTGTGTGCATAATTGTGTGTGTGGTGTGTCTGTGCATGCATATAGTGTATATGGTATGCTGGCCTTCCCATCTGGGAATATGCTGCAGTTGACCACAAGGTGACATCCTCCCAGTTCTGGGGCTCAACAATAAGCTTTTCTTCCTCAGCTTATTCTTCAGGAAAGAGAACTGTGCCTCCTTGCAACCCCTGTCTCTAGCAAGCAGTAACACGTAGCACACAGTAGGCTCTCATAAACGTAGTTGTTGAAACAATGGGAAGCTGAATGAACGAATCTGGAAACCCGTTATAGAACACAATACACTGTTAATTATTTTGGGGTGACACCATATCCTTTTTCTAACCTAGATACCTATCATGTGACCTTCCAGAATAATTTTATTCCCCAATTGAAGAGGATAAACAACCTGTGTAAATATAAAATCTTGACACAGTGAGAAGTCATGCTTGGATGAAGGTAGTAGGTTTTATACTGAAGTTTCTTCTGTAAATGCTTTGACTCTATAGACAGAGTCTTTTGCCATGTCCTGCTATGGAAGCTTTCAGTAGAGGTGTACAATCACTAACCTCCCGTTTTATGTTTCTACTCTTAAATGTTTTATGCTTTACTTTAAATGATTATCTAACATTGTTATCAGTCTGTCCCTAAACAGTATATAATTACACAGTCCTATCATCCACTCATATTCAGTTCTTTTCTCATTTATGGAGAAACAGAATGAACATGGTAATTATAGATCTGCCTAGCCATATGTTTAAAGCAAGTCAATTTATTTCACAAAATAATATTTAATATCTAAGAACCTTGCCCCATTATGAACAGATGCTAATCTGTATTTTGGAACTGAATGATTTTTGTGGCTTTTCATCTAAGAGGGGAAACAGTGATAATGGACATCTTCCAGTTGCATACCTTCATGACATACAATAGTTTTTTTGGATTAAGACGTGCAATTGTTTTCAGGAGTTGAGGGAGAGGAAGTAACAATGACATGTATACTTTTATGCCATCATATTCTGAACTCGAGTTTTGTACTACATTTCCAGTTTCAAAAAATAGCAAAAATAAATAATGGAACCGAATCTTGCCAGAGCTTAATTTACTCATCAGTAGGACCTAAAGGTGATTTATAACTTGCAATTAGTTGAAATAGAAGTAACCAAAAAACTGAACAAAGATTGGATGTCAAACATAATAGCATCCTCACACAGTCTTCATGAAGGCCTTGTGCACTTTTTAACTATATTAATGTGGCTTATTAGTGTAACAATCTATAAATGATGTCTGAAACTAAATGTATCAATGTTTGTCACAACTACATACATAATCACAAAAAAATTGTTTTTACCTACTAATCACTACCATTAATAGATAAATGTTTTATGGTTAGCAAAATAAAATGCTTACTTATCAGGAAAAGAATCATCAAGCCATTCTAAGGAGATTTCAGGTAATTTCCTTCAGACGTATGTCTATTAAAATATATGATCAAGAGCCATTTGTTATTACACAATTTTTAAATGTTTGAAAAATCCCTAACTATTGACTATGACACAGGCATTCTCTTGAGTCAGGTTGATTAATACTCATTTTCTGTTAAAACTACTTCAATCAAGTAAAAATCAGGCAAAAAAAGAAAAAAAAAGAGGAAAGGGGGACTACCCAATTCTTTCCCGGTGTTCCACATTATCCTAATGGATTATGACAAGTCTTTCTTAAATCCAAGGATTTATACATTGAACAACTATTCCCTGTTTATATTCTTCCCTACAGCCAGACACTACCTGCCGGATCTAAGTAAATCTTTTGGGGACTTCAGTGTTTTTGCCATTGTAGATTTGCTTTGAAATTGGGTTAACATTTTTGTAGAGTTATCCACATACTTCAATTAAACTTCGTAAACTTTTGCTTTTTACTCTTTTATCCTCTTTGTCATACACACACATATAGTGTGTGCATACATGTGCAGGGTCTGACCCACAGCATTTCCATTTACTGTATAAACTGTCCTCTCCAGACCCCCTCCCTCCAAACTGATCTCTTGGCATAGGGGACAGCTGGGTCTGGGTAATCCCTAATCCCGAGGAGTTCAGGCCAACTCGGATTCGAATATGGAGATTTGGGGCTATACCCAGACCTCACTATGACATACTTGGGCTCTTGTTACCTGCCAGCTATTAAAATCCCAGCTGGGACTAGTGGGGTAGAAACTATAATTACAACCACTCCCGCCCTTCTCAGAGGAGGAAGAACAATCTCAGTATGAATTGGGCCAGGCTGCATCTCTGAGGATTGCATTTGTAGTCCAAACGTCAATGGTTTTATGCAAAAAAGTTCTGTTTTTGCCAAATTTCAAGTAATTTTTCATTTTAAAGTAATTTGACCATACTATCTTTTTTCCTTTGCAGATATTACAACAGATTTTTTTAAAGGGAACAATTTTCTCTGTTTCATCTCTCTCGCCCTCTTTTTTCTGGTGTGTGTGGCAGCTGCTGTTTGATCTGTTCATTGGCTCTGATCTGTTTCATGTTTCAGCCAAAGATTAAAACTACTCTGTAATTCTAAGCAGATGGGCCTAGGAGTGCAACCCTATAATTATACCTTCTCTCTTTGGCCCTCGAATTGCAAGCCTCCCATCCTGACTTTTAAAGTCTGGGATCACTAGAGTTCAGAATACACCTTGGCAATCAGGCAGGTCTTGCCCAGCCCAACATGTATGCGAGGCAAGGCCTATGGATCTGTGCTGCCTAAGATCCTGCCCAAAGGAGGACTACACAAAGCAAAACAAAACAGAACAAACAAAACAAAACCCCAGCCATGTACAGCTTGCAGGTTACCCTTCCTAGATCTTCTGGAGGAGTCATAGCCTGATCTTCACTGCTTGCTACAATGCATTCTGAAGCTCTATTCAGCTGCAGGTCCTACTCAGAAATTTAGAGTGTTCTGAGGGTACTGATATGATCTGCGAAATTTGGGGTGGTTGTGGTAGGTAGGGGGGAAGGAGAGCCAAGCTTCTGGTGGAGTCCCTTCCGCTCAAAAGTCAGGTGTCCATCACTAAGGAAAATTCGCTCAGGACATCTGAATCAGCACCGTATGTTCTGCCGCTGCCCCTGCTGATGATCAGCACCAATCTACCACAGAATCTGCCTTGGCAACTCCCTGGCAATTGTCTTATTTTTCTCAAGGCAATTCCTGGAACTCTTAAAGTGCTGATGTTCTCTGGGTAAGAGTTTACTAGAGCTCCTGAGAAAATGTAGCACAGGAAGCGCAGAGACAAAATGATCAAGTAACAGCATGTGTCAAGTTCTGCAGAACTTACGAGACTGGTTTTAGTTATTACACCTGGGCTATTAGAAGTCCCCTGCTCCTTGAAACTGCATCCAGTCTACTTGGGAGAGAACCCCATCACCACCCTTTCAAAAAACACTAGTCCTAGGAAGGGCACACAGAAACACCCGCGAGCTATTTTTCCACTTAAATAATCATAGTTTCTCTTTACAGTCCCATAAAAGTTTGGACCACATCAAGAGCCTCTCCTGCGCTCTGACACTTGGGAACCAGGATCGCAAACCCAGCGATTTCAGGACAGCCTACAGTTTGAAAATCCAACAGTGAATAAAAGTTTTCCCTAGAACTGAGGCAATCCATTCAGGAGATCAAAGTTGTGTGTGAGACGTTTGCACCCTTCCAGAAAGAAAACTCCAGCCGCCAAAGGGCTCTGGACGCTGCCAAGGGTGGGAAGCTCAGAGCCTAGGAAACGCAGAGTCCCTCTTCCAGGGGTGAGCAGAAAGAAGCAGGGGCTCTGCTTCGCTGGCGCGGGGACAGAAGCTGCCGCTAAGGAGACTGGTTCCGCGGGGAAGTTTTTGCAGCTCTCGGGGCTCCCACCCTCCGGCGAGGGCCAGTCACCACCCCTTACTCCCCGGAACTCACCGTGAAGTAGCAGGGCCGGGAACAGGTATGTGAGCAGGAGGCGGCACAGACAGGACATCTCCAGTCCTCCTCCGGGACCTTCCGCGCGCCCCGAACCACTGGAGCCGCTAGCCGTCCGTGGTCCCTGCTCCCCAGGAACGGCCGCGGTGCTGCGCACGCTCTGCCTTCGCGTCTCCAGCCTGGGACGACACGACGAGGCGGCGTCGTCAAGCGGGATGACTGCTTCGGCGCGGGGACACGGGGGCGGGTCCGCTCCTCGGCTCCAGCCCGCGTGCGGCCAGGCCAGGCCCGCGATCATTCGGCCGCGGAGCGGGGCCCCATACCCGGGGGGCGCGGCGCAGGGGCTGCGGGGCGCGCGCTCCCTCGGCGCCGGCGGGCCCCGCGCGCCCAGCCCGTCCTTCTCCGCGCTCTCGGTCTCTCCGTGTCCGGCCTCGCCGCGTCCCGTTCTGGCCGCCGCAGCAACGCGCGCCACTCAGAGCTGCAGTAGCCGCCACCGCTAGCGCAGCTGCAGCGTCTCTTCATATTTCCCGAGCGCCGCCGGCGGGGCGGCTGGGCCGCGGGGCGGAGGAGGGGCCGGGGGCGGGGTCGGCGAGGCGAGGCCGCGCCACCGCCCCCAGAGCCGCCGCGGGGGATGGGACGCGGAGACTTGAAAGGGCGCGTCGGGCACCGCCTCTCTCTCCCGCCCCGCTCTCCAACCTCGTCTTCTGCCAGCCTCCCCCCATCTCTTCCTTCTCTCCCTTCCTTCTTGTGTGCCTATTCTCCCCTCGACCCCCCTCACCCAGCCTCCCACTCCTCTCCACCCCCTGTCCCTGACTCTCATTCCCAGTCCCCCTTCTCCCGAAAGTGCCCCTTCCATTCCTCCGCCTCTGCGCAACCCCCTATTCCTCTTCGCCAGCTGCCCAACTCCATGGGAGCTTCCCTTTGCGAAGGACTAACAGCCCTTGGCACCGCCGGCAAGGAAAGAAAATGTGCCCTCCACCTCCCTGCCTCCACTCCGGGCAGCTTGGGGACCCCTTCTGTTCCCCTGATGGGTGGATGCAACCACTTGTGAAAGACGTTCCAAAAGGGTGGGCGGAAGGACACTGCGAGGCTAGGGGTCTCGAGTGGAGTCTGAAAAAGGTTGGCTTGCAGAGATCGGGTGTGGGGGTGGGGTGTGTGTGTGTCAGACAGAAAAGAGGAGAGGAAAGCGTTGTGGTAAATCGCTCAGGGTGGGGATGCGGCAGTGCCCGGTTCCCTCAGTACTGCATTGCTTGTTTTAACTGAAAATCCACAGCACAAATTAGTGTCTAGGCTCCCCTGGTGAGCATAGGAGCCCCTGTCACAGGTCCCAACCTGTGAAGGGAATTGTGTAGGCAGCAGGAGAGCCTTTTCTCTTACCCCTCCCCACCCCTTTCAAGAGGCAAAGGACTTGTTGAAACACGGGAGAAATCTCAGAAAAACTCGCTGTCAGTCCCCAAGAAAGTGCACCCAGGCCCCTTCTGTGGGTCGTCCTCTCTTCCAAGCCAAGCCTTACTTTTTTATTTATGTTCTGTGGGTCTAGGAGTGGTGGTATGTTCAATTCTGCATTGGCTTTTAAGACCCAGAGACAGAAACAACTTCCACTGTCTCAATTTCCCAGGGCTCCGGAACAAGCCGCTTGTGGTAAGCAGTGGCACCCCTGATGGCCTGAAGTGCCCTGGACTCTGATTTATCTGGAGTTGCTCCTCTGCAATGATCCTCCAGCCATTCTGTGACCCCCAGAATGGGGCTTATTCAGGCTCCTAGGCTAAATGTCACTTCCTCTTCACACTAGGCTAAGGAGCAGTCATGGGATCAGAAGGAAACAAGAGAACACTTCTTGACTCAACTGTGCTGGTGTTTTTGTAAATAAAACGCTTAAAAAAGAATGCCTGACTTTCCAAGAGAGTGTTCTGTCCCTTTGAACAGTGTAATACATTCCTTATGCTTTAGCCTTTCAAAACTAGTTGGACCTTAGCATTGGTGTGAAACTTAGTAAAATAGATGAGAATACATTTGACAGTTTCCACTGTTTTTTTTTTTTTTTTTTTTTTTTTTTTTTTTGGCTGAGAAAGCCATGGGTCTTTTGATGTGATGGAGCTGATACTGTTTGATGTGCTTTAATTTTTACCACCATCATTATCCTCTTTCCATCTTTAATATGAAGGATCATAACTCACACCACCTGCCTAGCTCACAAGGATGTTGTGAGGATTAAAGTGCCAGTGGTTGCAAATCTTGAAGATGAAAGGCTCCCTGCCTGTGAAAAAAGAAGATTGTCATAATAAGGCTGTGAGCATTATTTTGAGTTGGGCTTGCTCTGCAAGCATCTCTGTGGGTCTGCTTTGTTCCTTATCACTTCCTTGTCCCTCTTGCTAGTCTCTGTTACTGGGTTTGGGTAGAAGGTGATGACTTGTGGGTTTGAATGTTGCCTGAGTTCATCGATTTAAAGTAGGAACCTTATCTCCTCATGAATAAGTGGACAGTTGAAAATGATGTGAACAGCATATTTGGTGGCTCAGGCAGAACATTAGCATTGTCACCAAACACACAGCTAGTCAGCGTCTAACTTTTCTAGGCCTTTTAGTCATTTGATGCCTTTTAGTCTCTCAGGGAATATTCGAAAGAAACAAACAAGAGTATTAGGGATGGTGTGCTTATGTATAAACAACTGGGTTGATAGTAATGGAAAAATGTTAAGGTCATTTATTGCATGTCAGCAGAACAACTAGATAACACAATTACTTAAATAATTACTTGATTCTGTTATTTAAAAAAAAGAAAAAGAGAACCAGCAATAATTTGTGTCATCTTGAGAGTCAAGTTGATTCAATTTTTGTTTTACCAACTGGTTTCACTGGTGTGGTGTAAACATAGCCAGGATGATGTCACCAGTTCAAAATTTGTTTTGCCAAGTTTATTTTCCACATGTAGTGTCACAGATTCAAGTTCTCAATCTTCAACATAACATCTTGCCAGAGTTGCTACTCCCAGATTTGCCTGCATTGACTTCTGCCTGTCTGCAAGGTGCAGACTATAACTTTAGGGTTCACTTTCTGCATTACTTTTCACTTTTGCTGTTAGTGTGCTCACTTCTGGAGGAGAATAATGGAAAAAAAAAGAATATGTATTTGTCTTCAAATGATTATATGTGGATATATGCTTAGAGTATTAGAATTGGGAGGAAGGCATTTCCAGGAAGGTGGTTAGGAGCTCCTACTCCAAATCTGGCCACCTGGAACCCACACTGAGAATTTCCCCAGACTGCTTGTAAGGACCAAGCCTTGAGCAGGAGTGTGTATAGCCAGGCCCTGGTTATAGCAGATGAGTCCCTGGCCAGGGTAGCTCGACAAAATGTCCTTAGCAGCATGAATAAGTATGTTACAATATTGAGAGCTACTCCTAAATAACTTGTGTTACATTGATGGGGAAGAAGAAACTCAAAGGGGCTGAGTTCTCAGCCACACTGCACATCACAGGCACAGTTGGAACTCCCATGGCTGTTCAGTCAATAGCTCACAAGGCCTCTCACGTGTTTACCAAATGGTCTTTTCACATGAGCACTGCTGATTGTAACTAAGAGCCTCTATGATTGGCTCAGTCTTTGAGTCAGAACCAGCTCTTTGCTCTTTCACAGTCATTCTGAAACATAAGCAAATTTTCTGGGATATCTGCACTGGGTACAAAGCTTGAGTGATGACCTTGGCTTTATTTTCTCAGGAAGCTGGCTTAATTTTTTGTGAACACAAAGTAGTAGAGAACTCAAATGCATTGTTACCCTGGGAGATGCAAGGACCAATGTCCTTTAAAACCTGTGCTACAATTTGGTTTCCTAATGCAATCACTGTGAAAACTGATCTAAAAGTGTGGTATTATGCAAGTCATTTGAAATTTCAGAGAGTCCAGGTGTTTCAGGTCTGAAGAAATGATAATTTTAAGGAGGGTTAAGGGAGTCAAAACATTAATTTCACATCATGCTCAACTATGTGTATGGTTGAAAGCATTTTATTACCTCTGCATCCTCAGAGGTTGGGAAATGTAACCAGGAATAAATATGTAGACTTTTTTGAAAGTTGATAGATGTCAGTGCCAAGCCTGTGACCCGGGGTAATTTCTCTGGAGTGTAGACATCTGGAGGACAGGAATGGTGCTTAGTTATCTCTATACTCCTTTCAGCACCATTTTCAAAATACGAAAATACCTAAGGCAGTGTTTTCAGTATTTTTCCCACAGCGGGACTTACTTTAATAACTGGTAAGGATTTTAAATTGAAAAAAATTTTATAGCACTTCCTCTGAGCCAGAGTTAATAAAATTATCCTGAGGAGCCCTTAGGAAAGGGAATAGTTCTGAGTTACGGTCTTTAAAAATGTTAATTGGAACAAACTATTTTGAAAATAAAGTGTAGTTTAGATGTATCTTTGAGTGGCATTGTCTTCTGAACTTATAAAATTAAAGATAACATTGCACTTTATATTCATGACAGTTTTCATTTGTTAGTTCATTCATTCATTCACCCATCCATCCAGTGTTTACTGATATCAGATATGTGTGTGAAAACATCCAAAAATAAGGATATATGCGTATGAGAGTGATTTAGATTAATCATCTGTTCACCCTGTGTCACAAGTTTGTTTAGGGGGATGATGAGAAGACTGAGGACCTTTACCACTAGAGGAAAATATTTAAAAGCAGAAGGCAATAAAGGACCTCAGTAACATTTTTGTCTATACTTTCATGTAACTCTCATAATATTCTTTCTTGCAATGCTAGCTCCCTTGTATAGCTAACTGCTTTATTTGCTTAACTAGATTTGGTCTTTGAGGGCAGGAAGAAAATCGGGTTTTATGTTGGCATCTCCCTCCCATCCCCTTCACAAGTCCTTTCATAATGGGCATTTGTTGGGCTAGTAGATAGGGCAGGGTAAGAGCAGACCATCAAGAATGAGTCTTTATGAGGCCAGCACCACCCAAAGCCACTGCAGCACACAACTAGACACAGCAGGATGTAAAAACACTTGTATTTAATCCGAGCACACCGTGGCTTGTTACGACACATGTAGCAACACTCGAACACGTTGACAGGTGAGAGGCAGTACACCACATTTGTTACAGAGCCAGATGCACCAGGCTCAGTTCTCTCAGGTGGAGGACCCTAGGCAAGTTACCTAACATGGCCATAAAATGGGAGGATATCTTTCGGGTCAAGATGTCAGTGTAGGTAAAAGTTGTACTTGAATCCTCCCACAACCACCTCAAAAATACAGCTAAACTACAGAATAATCATCTTTCAGAACCATTTG